CTTTGCGTTAATATTTGCAAAAGTAAGAAAAAATTAGAAACATCAAACATTTACATCATATTAAGAATGCTCTGTCACATTAAGTCTTAATTCCGTCGTATTGCGTTTCGTAATAATTCCAGATAAAAGACTCGAAATTGGTCGTGGGCAAAATAATGGCAGACATAGAGAGGAATATTGGCGATTACCCCGTTAACAAGGACTTCGTAAAGGAATGCGTAAACGCGTATGAGTAAACCCAAAGCGGGGCAATAATAATTTTAATCATTTTCGTGTCTCTTCATCTAACATTCCTTTTCAGTTTACTTTAGACATCCAATATTAATACGTGGTGTTCACGGTTTATTTTAGAATTCTGTCCACAATACAAACCCTTCAAAGACCTATTTTCTATATAATTTACATATCAAAACAAAATCGCCTCGCTTGCGAATTTTTCTTCATGATAACTTTTGAAGTATCATCATTGCTAGAAAATTTTTTGTCACAATTTAGATTTTTCGTAGAGTAATTCGAGGTCAAACATAACTCACTCGTGAATTTCCTCCAATAATAGTTGTATTACGACAATTACGAAAAAAAGATGTGTTCTTCTTTCTTCGCGAATTAAACTCTGAGCTTAACGAAGAGCAAACAAACTCGATATAGTAATTCGAAGGATGACTCTCTCGCGGATTTTCCGCGACGTGTCCTTGAATTACGGAGCATTCGAGAGAGAGAGAGGTGATTTTCACAAGCTAGATTTCAGGGTGGATAAAGTCACATCAGTTGATAAAATAATTTGCAGACAAGGACGACTCGCTCGCGACGCAAATTTGTGCGCGTGGCGCTTTTCCGCCACAGTAATTTCCGCAAGCGCGCAAGAACGGCGTTAATCATGCCAATTCATGATATCAATCGAATTTTAATATCCCTCGCCTCATAAAACTTATTGATTATAATTGCTACGTGAGATTCGGGACGCGCAAAGCATAAAGAAACGTGCGAGTACGACTGACAAAGTGCGAAAATCGCGCAAAAAAAATAAACAAAAATACTTGAAAATATTTTTAAAGAATAATACTAAATGAATATGTTTCTATTTTATACATGTTATTAAATAACATTTACATTCATACAAATAATATATAATTATTTTGTACAGCACATACTACTTGTAACACTTGCATGTTTTATAATACATAATCTAATATAAAAATAAAAATATTTTGATAAAATGTTGTTGTGTGGAATTATAGGCCAAAATTTTTGTTAGACCAAGATTTTCGTTTTCAAATAACTGAATTTTTTAGCTTTGTCATTTATCTCTCGTTATATTTCATTTTAAAGAAAATTAAAATTTTTTGTTGAAATTTTTGTTTTTTATAAAAAAAAATAAGTAAATAATAAATATTCTGTCTCCAGACAATAATTACAACATTATTTTGTTAAAAATTTAAACATATAAATCTTGCACATCAGAAAAGCAAGCAATAGCTGCAGACTCGGATACAACAACAGATATCGTGACGTCAATTTCGCATAAAACAATAGAAATAACTTTCTTCTTTAAATATAGATATATTTCTTAATTATATATATAATAATAAAACATATTTATTTAGTAGTTTTCTTTAAATAAATTCCTGGATATTGTTGTTTCCGAAAAATTAGCCGCAAGATATAACTTGTTGATTTTAAAATCATTTTTACCGAATTATTTGTCGTAATCGTAGCTTATCGCTGTATGTAATTATAATGTTTCCTCCTTTTGCATGCGCATTTGCACTATCTTACCAGCACATCGACCAACGCGTAATTCGCACACTCGCATTTGCGCGCGAAACAACAAAACAGCGATGACAGTACAGTTAATAAGAGTCTCTAGAAATAAGAGGCTGGTCCATGTTGTCCCATTTCTGATTGGTTTGATAAGATATGGCAGAAACAATCAGTGACAACTGAGCACACAGAATACTTGAAAAGTAAAAGTATACAAAATAAATGTAACAATATACTTTAACTCGAAAACAAATAAACATAAAAACATTTTATTTAATTTTTATTAAATAAATCCTAAATCCATATATAAAAGCATCACAGTAACATGCACTATTAAGTTAAAATAAATAATTTTTGTTGATGATGAAGTTACAATAGGTTATATAATAAGTTATAACAGGTTATTGTATCATACCCACAACTTATATATTTGTGTTTCTTTTTTTGTTAATAAATTTCGACAAAATTCAATCCTCAAATATGTATTCACCTGTTTGATAACAAACAAATTTTTAATAATAATTAAACTGTCAATAAAAAAATAATCTTATATTTCATATACAGGTCTGTCTTTTATCGAATAAACTAATGTATACTGATTTATTTCCGTTCCTTTTCCTTTCAAAATCAGATAATATACTCGAAAAATTGAACTAGTTTAGCCAGTTCAGCAATAGAAAACAAAGCACATGCATCCTTATGCAGCAATTAGTACATCATTTTATATCAAAACAGCAACATCGGCCAGATTTTTACGTCTAGGGATTTTACGGTGAACGCGACAGGACAACATTAGAGTTTACGCCAATTTGACACGTCAACCAATTATTCACAGTACGCTTCCGCAAATTCGTAAACACAATACAATTGGCGATTGTAACATGACGTAAGATCACAATTCCGATCTCAAATGTAGAATCCGAAGTATAAATATGCGCAATAGAAAATCTCAGGTTCAGTGTGCACGCGAGTCGGTTTCTGAGTTTACACGAAGTAGCTCGTTCTTGCGAAACATTAATCAACAGCATGAAGAGATTCGCGTTTCTTGTACTTGTCTTTTCCGTTGCCGTGAGTACTATATATGTATAAAATAAAAATAACATAAAAAATCCATTCCTCAATAATCTATAATTAATTCTACTATAACTCAATAATGATAATGTTTTGTTGGATCCCATTTCCGGAAAACACGTTTGCGGAGGATTCTGTAAATCTGTCTTTCATATATATTTTCTGAACATTTTAATTGATCTCAATTACATAATTTTATAAGATATTAAAAAATAATAAAAAATATACAGTATCCGATAATTCACGGAGAAGCCGCGGTGTACTGGTAGATTACATACAATTTCATTATTTCAGGTAATTGCTGAAGACAAGGACAGCATGGAATATCAATACGAACTCATAATGAATTGTATACACAAAGCGAATATGACAAAAGGTAAGTCGCTCGTGAAAATCAAGCGAATTACAAACACAAGAACTAATTGAAAATGTATGTAACATTCCGTGTAAAAAGTACGCGCGTACTGGAATATATATTAGGTAATCAAAAAGGTCTTCTCTACAATAGAGGAAGTGGAGTTTGTTCAGAATTATCTCATAAAGAAGCAAGACGACGACATCGATTATAAAACTGAGGAATTTCTCAAAAAATACGGTTACTTCGCAGCTTGCCTAGAGGAAGACTTGGAAATGGTAATGCCTGCGCAATCTTCGCCACTACATTTATGCAGGATTATTTAAAAAATCTTTTTAGTCATTCTTCTTAAAGGTTTATACAAACTCATAGTAACTGTGAAAGAAAAACAATACAATTACGAAACTAACCCACAAACTTAACGATTAAAATGTTTAGGATAATAGGAGAATCGTACGAATTCATTAACACATTAACTATCAACATAAATAATGATAACAATGTGTCAAAATTGTAATCCGTTACTGTAATGGCTTTGCGTTAATATTTGCAAAAGCGAGAAAGGACTAGAAATATCAAACTTTCACAGTATATTAAAAATGTTCTTTCGCATTAAGTTTTATTTCCATCGTATTGCTTTTCGTATTAATTCCAGATGAAAGACTCGTACTTGGTCCTAGACAAAATAATAGAATACCTAGTAACGAACAACACAATGGACAAACATTCTATTAACAAGGACTTCGTGAAGGAATGCGTGAACGCACGTGAGTGGATTCAAAGCAGGACAATTAGAATTCTAATCTAAAAGTTCCCGTGTCTCTTTATCTAACATTTTTTTCTTTCATCTTACTTCAGACATCCAATATTAACATATGGTGTTCACGGTTTATTTTGGAATCCTGCCTACACTACAAATCCTTCACAGACCTATTTTTTATATAATTTACGTATCATGTAAAGTAAAACAACATTTAACCTTTCGCTGTCCAAATGCATTTTTCACAAAAACCACTTTCTCGAAATCAAACAAAAACATTTAATTTTTTAAAAATATTTGAGAGATCTAAGAAAGTATTAAAATTAAAATGTCTTATTCTTAAAATTAAAATAAAAATATTATTAAAAATATTCTTAAAATTAAAATATTAAAACGTCTTATTCTCCTCAATGCTTGGGAATTAAGAAATTTAGGGATGGTTTGTCGGCTCTGCGATCTAGTAACAAAAAATGTATCAGCCATCCTAACAACTTTTGCCTTGCATAAAAATAATACAAAGATTGTCAAAATCTGAAAGCAATATTAGAGTAATTTTTAGGAAATGTTTTTCAGATTCTAACTTCAGAGGTGAATATCTTAGGAAGGGTGCACTTTATGAAAACAATTTATATAAACTTATTCTTACCTAATCTATATATCCTTAAAGGATTGCTCAACTTTATTAAAACATAATAATCTGTATAATTGTTTACTTATATACTCAATTTTATATAATTGTGCAAACAGTTTTATTTCGTTTCTGTGTACGTGAAAAAAAGAATTATCATTGTCATATGCGTATGACGTTAACCTCGTAACGAAAGATAGATGCGTCTCACATGCTTGATTTTAATATCTCGTCAATCGATCATTTATCGATCGTTTCGCGAAGCAGTCCGATGATCTCAAGACACACGGCCTTATGGTTATGAGCCACATTGATCATTAATCACTGCATATCTGACTGTTACAGTAAACGATGACAGCGAAATGACTCGGGAGGAGAGAGCAACGGGTGCGGTGAGGTGTATATTAACCGTCGCTACACACAAGGACCAAGAGAAATAAAAAGAAGTGCAATTCACACGCGCGACATTGTAGGGGAGACTAGGGCAAGTTCGCTAATTTCTTCGAATTTCAATGATAAAACAGTTTGATATATTTAATTGTTCCAATTTGCTATATAATAATGATAGAGACAACCTTCCTCTTCATTTTGACCCTATCGACGATGCTATAAACTGTACAGTTTCGTCTGTAATAATAAAAATATCAACACGTAGTAAGCAGGCATACTTGCCCCGGTACTGGGATAGGTACGCTAGCAACTCGGGGTAGGTCAGCATTACATGTAATTATACACTTTGAAGAATGTTAAATCAATAAATTATACAATGAGATACCATATATCTTTGTGCTTACAATTTTATTTATACTTAAAAACAAAAAGAAATAATTTTATATATTAACATTTATATAATTTTATATAATAACATACTTTATATGTGTATACGTCATGTGTATACATCATCATATGTTTGCGTTGCGTGTCCTATGATCCTATTATCACTGTGCATTGTGAGCTATGTGTTTACTATTCTTTGCGCATAGCTACATCAGTGCGCACCAGTTCATCAGTGCTACCATATAGAAAAATTAACGAACTTACTCCATCTGCTCATTTCTGATATTTTAACAATTTTAAGAATAAAGTTCACTGTTATTATACAAAACAGTATCATATATCTTCAACAAACTTCATTTTAACTAATATTACATAACTTCAGTTCATTCATTCACGATAGAAAATGCAAGGAGAATATTTCGAGACGCCTAAAACTTCACTCAACTGACCTCAAATCAGTTTTTTCTTTCTTTTATCTGTAATATTTGCGCGATTGTAATGAAAATTGGAGATAAGTATTTTTACACTAAACGAAATGTTTTATGATTCCACTCGAACTGTTTGTTTCACAATAAGTACGTGAACGAAACGATTTGCGAACCTACCCCTACTGCGAACCTGCCCCGGTCTCCCTTATCTATTTGCGAAAATCGCACTGGCATAGCGGGAAAAATTCAGTCTTCGTAGTTTAAAATATCGTTTCTTTAAACTCGCAATAATGTAAAAGTATGCGGACGCAGTAATTGGATTATTCGATAACTCGTTTAATCTAAGAACGTGTCAGGCTGCATTACATCCTCCACTCGTTTTATATTAGATGTACAAATAAACAGTCAAATTTTTTAAGCAATTAGCGTAATTTTAAAATTGATTAATTGTAATAATTATATTTTTCTTGATTACTTTAGCATTCGATCTACTTATGAATTTAGTAAAATAAGAGACGCAAACATTTTTCACAGAAATTCCTCTCTACTAATAAACAGGAATATTTGTATTTTTAAACTGGACATTAATTAAATAACATATTTGGAGAGATTAGAGTACGAAAATATAAAAAAATGTAAACAAAGGAGGATAGTACGCACAATATGTTTATATTTTTTATTTTCATATTCTAATCTCTCCAGATATGTTATCCAATTAATGTCCAATTTAAAAATACAGATATTCCTGTTTATTAGTAGAGAGAAATTTCTATGAAAAATGTTTGCGTCTCTTATTTTACTAAATTCATAAGTAGATCAAATACTAAACTAATCAAGAAAAATATAATTATTACAATTAATCAATTTTAAAATTACCTTAATTGCTAAGATAATAAGAAAATCAGCGACAAAAAGAGTAGCTGAAGCAGTAAATTATGTTTAGTCCATCTGTAGCAAATTTGTAGCTAACTGCGTTAGTCGCTTTTCTTACTGTATGAGCAGACTTTCTTGTTATTATAGGTTCCTGCAGTAAAGAAAAAGTAGCTAACATAATGAATTATGTTAACTGTCCATATATAGCAAATTAGTTTGCTGCTGCAGCAAATCCTTTTTTTCCGTGCAATAGAAGCGAAGAATTGATTACTCTCAATATAATCTATTATTATTTAACGTGATTTCTGTGGCACTAAAACTATTATGTTATACATATCTTGCCGTTAGTGTTTAACTGATGTCGCAATAAATAGCAGACTGTATCGTCAGCGAGGAGGTTAGTCATAAGAAACTTGGTTACACGCAAAAAAATGATTTAATAATATCAGCTAAACCGCGGTAGCTGATTCAAACTTAGTCAAAAGGCTAATCGTTCAGCTGTCACTGTTAAGAATTGGCTATGACAGCTAAGATGCATTGGCTATAAAATACAAATATATTAGGTGACATTAAAAATGCACATTATTTCAAGTAGCTAAGAAAATGGCAGTTATTCCTAAATTTCTTATGCATATATTAAAGAAGTTTGCCGTACAGCTACAATCATTTGTTACAGACATTTATTTCTAGCAGCTATTCCTCGCTGTAGCGCCTAAGTTTAACAGCAAATAAATTTAGCTTCGGTAGTATCGACATTAGCTGTCCTTATTTCAGTGACACATCTGCCAAAGCTATTTTTTAGCTCTGGAAACTAGTTCTTTTTTTGCGTGTAGTCGACGAATCTACACAAGAGCGAAGGCGCACTTTTAGGGCACTCTCCCAGCAAGCTGAACCACCCGGGAACGGTTCGCCGTTCGATCGATTCGGTCATCCACCGATTAAATTTATATTTAGTGAGTCGTTCGCGTCTGGGAGAAGCCAATGCCGCACGGAATTTCGTCGGCGTCCATGAGGACGGAAAAATGCTCTCAAGGAAGAAGATTAAATCGATGGAACGTACGCGAAAGTTTTATGATCCGCGCTTAATGAGGGCCGGCCAATGCTTGTTGGAGGATTCAACTTCGCTCTTGATCAGACAACTCGAGATGATCCGAAACGCTGTGACGCGCCCGCTCGGAGAAGTGGAAATGTGGATATCGCTCGTGCTAGCTTCGTAAGATAACGCTTTTGTGACCTATCAGCTGGCGAATAACAGAAGCGGCGTGTCAATGAAAAAATATACGTCGCATGTGCACGAGGTCACCGACGCGAAGTCGTTTACTCGACTATTAACGAAGTGGGAAAGTCCCGGAGTAATTGGTTTTTCAAGATAGCCATCTCCGTCACATTCGCGACGCAATATGTAATTCAATAAATGAAAGAATATTTAAAAAATAAACAATATTTATTTAATAGGTACTTATAACATATTTATATATACATGCAAATATAAATTATTTTATTTAAATAAAATAAACGATTGCTTTCTTGAAAAGTTGCAATTTAAAAAAAATAAATTGGAAGAATTTTTATATTTGGAAAAAAATTGTCTCGATGCAGAAATATGTATATTAGTGCAAACAAATAATTTATTGTCAGAAATCACCAAATAAAAAAAATATCCGTTTTTAATTTCTCTCCTAATATAGAATCGAAAATTGATAATATACTAATAAATAACAATAAAAACATTTAGAAGATATTAAATTTTTATATCCTCGAATGACATTTCAAGCCGCTCAAAACCTGAATTCTCAGATTGGCCGCTTTCAAGGATAACAAAGCAAGAAGAGTATCTTATCGACAGTTAAACCTTGCTAAAACATTGTTGATTTTCAATCAGATAAAATCCGCAAGCCGAAGCAGAGTCTCGAATATTTTTATCAATCTAACATTCACTGTACACAAGAATATCGCACAATAATTTTAACGTTTATTAGGGTTTGCATTGGATTATCAGATTTTTTCATTCCCACGTATTGCGTCTCCTCTCTAAATCTTTTCAAATGAAAGTCCATTGGCACCAAAAATAAGGCAAAAAACGAGTCACTCGAATAATTTTTTATTCATGTAAAAAAATTCGTTCACTCTGAATATCGTAAAGTGAATATTTTTACCCGAAATTGAAGAATGATTTTTATATATCTCACTGTCAAAGAGACAAATTTACTTCGCTCTAATATTTTCGCACAGAACAAATTTTCATTTGTGTCCAATGAGATTTCACTCTAAGAAATTTAAGAAATGTGTATTCTCCAAATTTTTCCGAATATAGCTTTATTCAAAAAAAGAACTGACAATAAAATTACTCAAAATCAAGTGATTTTTTATTCGCGGAGAGTGAATTCTTCCTTTTCTGAATCAAACGATTATTTTCATTCAAGAAATGATCCAATGTATTTCACTACCATTAAAATTTTATTCTAGTCGACTGAGTTCACTCGTATAAACAAAGGATCCACTTTGAGTGTGAATAACACATTCTTTATGAATGCCGAGCAGCAGTATCTTCAGAATTGCTCCTGAATTTCCATTTGCGTCAAGTAAAATTTCACTTCAAGAATTTTGGGAAGTACACATTTGCACACATTACGATTCAATTATTCGATAAAACAATAAAGATATATCAAATATTGCTACTCTGTCTATACGTGATTTTTTCGGTACATTACAACTACGATTTTTAAATAATAATTAAAACATTATATACTTCATTAAAAATCACTAGTCACCTTAGTTATCCTGGTAACTATCCTGTCATTGAATATTACAACTATTGTGCCGGTCTCTGTACATCTACATCCCGAATTCCGAAATTTGCAACGAAACGGTTGCTTTGCAAATGGCGACGAAAAGGCCGCGAGCCAATCGATCGGCGATATGATCGATACAATGACCGGTTTTCCTGTTTCTCCGTCACGCAAAAATGATTTTATAGCTCGCGATGTTTTCGATCGAAGGTCACTCGACGTAAATCGCGATCAACGCGAATCCCTCATGGACACGCGGGGTCATTTCTTTCCTGGAACCATGTATAATTTCCTCGAGCCGTCCGTATGCGATACGACACGCACGATTTTACGCTCTTTCGATTGACTTTCCTGTAAAATGTTTCCGCGTCGACAATCGCCATATTGGATCCACGATATATAAATACCAGCCGGTGATAGTCTCCGTCAGTTCGTGTTGCCGCGCTCAAACTACGTGTGATATCTCGATTATCGGTGAAAATAAAGATCCCCGAAAATATGAAGCTGCTTGCGCTCTCCGTCTGCCTGCTGGCAACCATCGTAAGTTCTGATAATACGTGAAAAAGCGAAAATCTTTCAAAAAATCATATTTGTTTACAATATCGTCTGTTGTTTTAGCTCGATATTCAAACGTATTTTCCTTCTAATCTATTTCATCTTTTAATTTTATATTTGTACATATGTATGTGTGTGTATGTATGTGTATGTATACTCTCTAAATTTCTTGGAGTGAAAATACTGTCATTCTTACAATAAGAGTGAAATATTCACTCCGATCGAGTGAAACATTCACTCCTATGAAGAGTAAATTCTGCTACAGAAGTGACTGTTTTACTTGATTGGTTTTATTTATTGCAAGACCCTTATAGAAATATCATACTAAGAATCATTGATAATTACTTATTTTCAGTATTAAAAATACTGGATAATAAGTAATTATCAATGATTCTTAATATGATATTTCTATAAGGGGAGTGGCAGTATTTTCACTCTAAGAAATTTAGAGTACACGCACGCGCACCACGGTAGTCTTACGATCTTGTATGCTTGTACACATAGAAAAATATATACTGCATTCAAAGAAATATGACTTATTTTAAGTATTTCATAAGTTTACATATCCGTGAATCTATCATAAACTCATCATAAGCATCATTGGTTCAAAATATATAGTAGCTTTTAGTAATTTTAGGATTTCAAACAAAAATCTTAAAATGAAATAGAAATTCGATTTACTTACTACATAGAATCGAACCAATACTTTTCCTTGAATAGAGTTTTATAATATTCTTGTAAAAGAATTTTTAAAAAATTATTTTTAAGTACATGATAATGAACATTTCTGAAAGTGCCGATATTTTGAAACTATTATCAAGAAAATATTCTTTGTTGCAAGTAACTATTACTTAAGGGGATTGAAGAGTCAGATTGCCAGAAAATCGTGCTTGTTTTTTCACAATTTTTTTATGACAAACTGAATGAATATGCAAAAGTGTACTTATGCAACATACAAAGAAAAGAAAAATATAATTTTGATAATTAAATATTCAATATAAGTGTATGGTGTATGCAGTTAAAATATATTTTGTTTTTCTTTTCAAGGTCGTCATTTTGCAGTAATATCTTGACTCTCGGTGATTCAATTAAGCTGAATTTTAGGTAGAAAATGTCCGTAAGCTTGTCGTTATCGTGTGAATTATTATAATAGAAATTGAATAAAAGTTGCAAATATCTTAATGGAATATTATTAAATTTTCAGTTACTTTATAGTAAAAATATTAATATTTCAAAATTAAATATTTTCATGAGTTTATCAGTGGTTAATTGCATATACAATACACTTATATTGAGTATTTGATCATCAAAATTATATTTTTCTTCTATTTATATGTTGTATAAATACATATTAAAACAAAACTTTCGCATATTCATTTAGTTTGTCATAAAAAATTGTGAAAGAACAAGCACGATTTTCAGGCAATCTAACCCTCCAATCGCCTTAAAAGAAGCTAAACTGAGAAAAATTTTCTTAACAGTAGAATAATATTTTTCTTTTAGCACTGTATTACGTACAACACACACATACTTTGAGCATTATACGTAATAGTTTAAGGACGCGCATTTCATCAAATGTCAATTTTGATGGAATATTTTGGCAGTTGAGAGATCTCGACATTTTTATGATTTAACAACATTATCATAGCTATTCGAATTCCTGAAACTTCAACTGTTTACACAAGAGGTTCAATATTCGTTCGGACCTAACATCGCAAAGCAAATTGAAATTGCATTAGATACATTTTTCAATAAATTCATCTGTTATTAAACAAATTACTCAAGCAAATATATTATTTTGCATAAATAATTATTGCATAAATAATTATTTTGCATATAAAAATGTAAATAAATTACTTATGATTAACACGTAAATAAATTATTCGTGCTTGAGTTATAGAATATGTTAAGATATCCAACGTATTACAAAAAATTTAAGTAATCGTTTAATTTAAAATTATTTCATATTAAAATGTCGAGATTGATTGCCCTGATTTATCCTAATGGTAAGCTAATGAGTAATATATTTTTCAGATGATCACACGCGCTTCGAACTTAGAGAACCTTGCTACGCACGGCGAGGAACCAAGCAAAGCATCCACGCTAAAACAGGAATGTTATGACGAAACGCATCTAACGTCAGGTATGTGAAATCACTTCTAATTTCGGTGAGATGAACTTCTCTTTACTACTTCTCTTTACTAAGTCTCTTTACTAAGTTTCTTTACTGTATCTGTCGTGGACAGATACTTCGAATTTCGGTGAAATGAACTTCTCTTTACTACTTCTCTTTACTAACTCTTTTTACTGTATCTGTCGTGGAAAATCACTGCAAAGTAAGCTGGTTGAGATAAGAAGGAAAAGAGTTACAAAGGTCACACGTTATATAACTACTATCGTAAAATTGTTAGTATGATATAAATATATCATTAAATTTATTGTGCGAAATATTTCATTGTTTTTTTTCAGCAGGGTGCTGAGCAACGGAAATTAGTAATTATTTTTCTTGCAGAGGAATTAATTTCACAAGAGGAGATGAAGAACAACACCTACAAACTAAACCCCGAGAAAGCAAGGAAGAACGGTTGCTTCGCGGCGTGTATACTGCAGAAGAGAGAGTTAGTAAGTATTCAGAGGGCGTTACTTTTTTCGTAAAATATTGGTTTGAATGAAAAGTTTGTGTGAATATTTCAGAAATATTTATATTAAAATATTTATATTAATAATCCTTTTAAAACACATACTAGTCCATAAATTCAATTCAATCTTCATTAAAATCGCAATAATATTAATAATATTAATAATCCCTTTAAAACACATACTAGTCTATAAGTTCAATTCAATCTTCTTAAAATCGTAATAATATATAAGTTAAATAATAAAATTATTAAAAGGATTATTAAAATGTGAAAAATATTTTCTCGGTGAAAATTTTTCTTGACCAAATTTTAAAAAATTTTAAACGTTAAAACATTCTGGAGATAACTTTCTCCTAACGAAAATGTCGAGAGATGTCATTTTTTATGACAATTACTCTATTTCCCTCATTTTTGTAGATATCTTTATAGATAAGCCTTAAATTAAAATTCTGTTAGAGTGCTCTTGAAACTAATTTAAGAAAGTAATTTTGTTACCTATTTAATCACCTAAAGTATTTAATTTGCTTTACTAAATTCTAGATCACTTATATCTCGGAAATGACATTTTCACTATGAAAAAGTTAACTCTAAATTTGTCAAAGAACCTGCAGAGAACAAAATTAAAGTGACGAGATTTGGAATATGCTGCATAATATGCAGTTTTATTCTATAACATTTCTCTCCATCCATCCAATGTTTACAGTATTTAAAGTGTTTATGTTTACAATATATAAAACGCAAAGTAAAAAAGGCGCATATAAAATATGTATCCTATGATTAGTAATTTCGAGATCTTCCATAAGATGTCTCCACAGCCTCTTCTTGCCGGCTTAATTATAAGCCAACTTTATCTCGTCCGTCCATATACTCGATTTCAATCGTTATATGAATGGAGATTGTTTTTATTATCCGAAACAGTACATCATTTACAAGAAAGTTTATTCTAGCTAACAATAAAATGCTTAACTTTATTATTCACTCACAGAGAATATTGATATCAAAATTCGAGAGGCTCAAAAATTTATTTTGCTACTACTAAATCAGTTTTTTCTATTTTTTAACTGTAACGCTATTCCGATTTGAATGATTGAATAATCTGATTTGTATTATTTACTGTAATACTATTACTAACTATATTACTAATATTAACTGTAATATTATTGCGATTTTAATGAAAATTGAATTGAATTCATGGAATAGTATATGTGTTTCAAAAGGATTATTTCGCGAAACAGCTGTTTCCACAGTTTCGCTGAAAATACATAGTAAAAAAAAGCATAAATGTAACATATCACTAGGGCCATCTAAATCCAATCTTCCCTACTGATAAGGCATATTTAAAATAAAAAAATATTATTTTTCAAACAATATATCTTTTTCCTTTCGAATCGTTTCAGATTGTTGACGGAGTGATTCAGAAGGAAAAATTGTATGCCAAAGAAGCGCACGCCAATTTACGTCCCGACGTGCGAGCCGCAATATACAGAGCTGTAGATCGTTGCGTGAAAGAAGGCAAGTATAAGAAGGACTTTTGACTCTATTAACCGGACATTTTATATTTTAATTTTTTACATATTGCGACATCTTGATCGGATTTAGAAAGAAAAAGAAAGAGAAATGAACTCTAGTTCGTAATATGTTACGTATACATACATGAAGAACGTACAAGTGTCAAGAGGAATAATTTTAAGCAAATATGTTTCAGTTGAAACAAATCCGGATCTGTGTGATAAATCTCTGGAACTGCTTGTCTGCTTCTGGAAGAGCTTCCACTAATCTGGCACGGATTGCCAACAATCCGATTTCCAGATTCACGGATTAGAAACTATTATTAGAAACGGAAGTTATTTTGTGTTAATTAAGTTTTTATTCATATACTTATTCAAAATAAACTTGAGCAAAGAAATTCATAGGATTTTTATTTCTTCGATTATTGAGAGATTCCTGTCTTTCCAGCAAAGAAATATCCGATAACTAACATTTCTACCAAATATTCATATAGACAAACATTCATACAATGAGACAATATACGTATACAAAACACGCATACAATACACGCACATAAAGCATCAACAGAAAACGAATTACTGATAGAATCACTCATTTCGTACATTCCGGAGACCACTTCAAGAGAAGACACAAAGAAAAACACGACAATGTCGATAAATAATAGGAAATCAAACATTACCACGAATTCAAATTACATTAATTTTGCTTTTGTTTAATAGTGAATTCGCGCAAATTTTAACACAGTGCACCGATGGAATGGAGACTGACGGAATTCTTTTCCGTCGCTTCGGCTTTAATACGATGTTGTACGAGATAACCTCCGATATTGGTGAACCGCATATCAAGTTTTAGCGCTGTGTATAAATACCGTATATCGCGATGTCGGCGACAGTTCATAACTAGAGAAGCGCAAGCTTTTAATCGTATATCGGAGACCATCATCGCGAAAAAGAAAGTGATTACCGAATCGAAACATGAAGCAAACGCTCTTATTTTTCTTCACGCTCATTGTTGCCGTAAATGTATGGGTAATGTGTAAATGTGCATAAAACACGAACGAAATTCAGACTCTGCTTTATCAACCGTAATGCCAGTCGCATTACACACGCATTCGATAACACACGCATCACTTGCCGCAGAAGTTATGCACGGTAATTCAGCAAATTGCATTTTTAATGAATTTAAAAATGTCCAGTAGGCGGCTGCCAGATTGGCAAAAAAGTGCTTAACTTCAACTGTTACGAATATCACGCCAATCACAAGTGTCAATAGTATAAAGGAAATACAACTGAGGTTCCTGATTAGTGTATTTATAACAATTGAGTTCAAATTAACTTTGTTGATAACAATCAACAAAGTTGAGTTAATTTTTGTGACGTCGTTACGTTGCATTTGCTAGTGACTAATTTACTAATAGGTGAGGGAAGGTTTTTATACAGAGCTAAACTTGTGCAAAAAGTGTGCGTCTTAATGTGACAATTGTCACCATTGATTTTCGCGAATACTAATAAAAATTGCGGCAAGATGTAAAAAATATACATATGAGTTATGACATATAGCAAATTATCACTACTTTGTCCTAGATGTTAAAAAACTAAGAACCACATCACCAAATTTTTTTGCTCCGGCAAATATTAATTATATTTTCTTGTGTGCAATATTTTTACGCCTGTAATGGACTCTTATTAGCCATCTCTCAATTTCGCCTAATTATTATATTATTAACACGCGTTGACTGTACCACTCTGATTGCCATTGTTTACTTTCTAATGCTGAACTCAACTTTGAATCGCCAAAAATGTGAATCGCAATGCGTATACACGTCAGCTAACACTTTCATTTATACTCTATCTATATTTAATTTGTTGTATATAGTTCCACGTTTTATATGCAAATTACTGAGGCACGACAATAATATAACGTTGACTAATGGTGTCTATCCATGCGGCAGTCAACGTGTTAATAACGAAACGAAGATGATCGTAATTAAGACTATAATAATAGCAGAAATCTGTCGGGAATTTAGTTAAAAGAAATTTCTTATTACGATCTCGCTTCAAATGCTCGATTCTCTATCCAACCTTAATACAACCTTAACAATACAAAAACTCATTACTCTAAGTAAAACTTCCCCGTCAATAATCCATTGTTGCAACGCGCGCACGACGATCCTACGAACAGATCAATTATACTTGCCTGTTGCAGACAATGAGCTTCGAAGATATTGCGGAAAGGATAGCGAGTACTCTAGAAGTGATGAGAGAAGAAGTGCAGACATGCTTCCACAAAACAAATGCAACACTTGGTGAGCTTCCGTTTGTGTGCCATTCTTATTAATTCGTGCAATTTTGAATGATACTAATCTAATCAATTTAATCGACTCGTCAATTTCTAGAAGATCTAATGAGAGTTGACGAGTTAATTTACGAAAACAGGTTGCAGATTATAGACTTCGATGCCTCAGCTTTAAAGGCGGGCTGTTTTTTCGCCTGCTTATGCCAAAAAAAAGGAGTAGTAAGAATCAATAATTTATCATAAATCGCATACAGACTCAAACATATACACACACGTATATATACATAATTAATTTTAAGTTAACGAGGAAGCGAAAAAGTGTTGAAATTTTCGCTTATTTTAAAAATGTGAGATTAATATTGGAACAAACTGATCATGATTTATTATATTTTGTAGAAATTAAAACAGTTTAAAACTAATAATTACAAAATATATAATTTATATTTCAAACATATACAGGATATTTCTAAATAAGTACGAAAAACTATAAGAGATCATTTTTTGTAAAAAATTAGGGAGGGAGGAATTTTTCATATAAATATATACTACTATATTCCTCCTTAAAGAGTTATACCTTATTAAAAAAAGTTAGGTTTTTATTTCTTTTTATGAACGTTGGAGAAGTTTAAAAAACGAAATTTTAATGTAAAGCGAGTTGCCAATCTGGCAACCACCTACTAAATATTTTTAAATTCATTAAAAAGACAATTTGATGGATAACCGTGATGTAATATATTTTATTTCTGTATATGAAAACTATTATTTTTACAAAAAAATAAAAAAATATTTAATGGAATCAAGCTTCCTAACGCATATTTTTAGATAATCACATCACACAAAAGTTATAATAAAAAATTGAGTAAATAATTTCATCTCCTTATAACGATACGAATAAATTAAAAAAATATTAATACGTAGCCTTATCTTCTATAGTTTTTCGCACTTATTTTAAATTTCCCTGTATATATTCATTGTAAGTTTACATCGTTTCATTTATGCATTCATTCCAGATGACGGGTGCGCGTGTAAATATGGACCACATAAAGAAAATGATACACTCCAACAAAGCTAGACCTAATCAACTCGCCAAAGTATTTCAAATACTTGATTTTTGTGCTAATCAAGGTACATATTTATAAATATAGAAATATCACGGGGAAAGTACTCGAATCATTCCTTGACTCATGTACTTTTTGTACATAAAATGTGTGACCGGTTTAATTAACACGAGCAATTGTAATTAAATATTTGCATAATCATTTTTTGTATTTCAGTTAGAAGCAAAACCAACGAGTGTGAAGTGAGCCTCAAATACATATTGTGTGTTGTGAATAAAATGATACCTATGGACAGTAATAACAATAACGATGAGTAAATAACAAATATAGTAATTATATTAGAAGCCATGTTATTATGTTATTATTATTATCATATATATATATATATATATATATATATATATATATATATATATATATATATAAAACAGCATTGAAATAACCAATGGCATTCAGAATAGCATAGTGTGTCAACGCGTGTTAATAATATAATTAGGCGAAAGTGAAAGATGGCTAATAAGAGTCCATCACAGGCGTAAAATATATATATATATATATATATATATATATATATGTTGGTAGCTTTTGGATCCTAAAACATATACCATGGGTTTCCCAGACCCACTTGAAACTATTCCTTATTTGAAATAGAGGAAGAGTTCAAGAAAATATATTCTTCCTTGAAAGAAATAAGGAAGTTTTTTTTATGGAATTCCAACACCCATACTCTGCATATATTTCCATATTTAACCCTAGGTATACACACTGGGGTCTCTGAGACCCCAGGCAAAATTTGAAACTCTAGTATTAGTAGAGAGAATAAGTAAGGAGGACACGACCGCCGTGTAAAAAAAATTTTGAAGACTCCTCTGTAGATAACAACTGTCGGAGCAATCAATTGTCAGTCGGTTTTGTGGCAATTCACATATAAAATAAGCCCGGTGTCTCCCAAACACAAGTGTGTACTTCATGCAACTTTTCTTACAAGTAACTATATTTTGTAAATAATTTTATTCGAGTTCATAATGTAAATATATATTCTAAAAAATATTAGATTAAATAAGTAATGTAAAAAAAAACTAATTTTTATTGGGAGACACAAACATACGGACTAAACGCCCAAAATGATACTGTCTTGGGTGAATGTTATTTGCCGCTTTTAAATTATTGACATTTTTCTTTTTCTGTTTTTGTTACATGCATTACAAGTTATTAAATTTGTATCTTTTAACAAAAATCCTAACTTTTATACCTGTCTGCAAAACCGCCAGAAAATAGAAATATAAAAAATCTTGGAGCCTTGTAATTTTCATGATAATATTCCAATATTTAAGCGACGATTTTTTTTATGCCTTGAAATATGCCCTTTCAAAATCTGCAAACTTTTTTCGATTATCTCTATTACCAAAAAAGATTGCATCAATCTATTACGGTAAAATGATGTTTCCTTTGCATTTATGAGTATTTCTAATGTTTCAACACGTCTTTGTTATATGATGCTTATTATGATTTAATATTAATTCTTAATAAATACAAGTGTTTATCAGTCTATTAACAATCGGGAAAAAAAGTAAAAATACAGTGATTTTTACCGAAGTTATAATAAAAAAAGTAGCTGGGATCCTTCAGATCTCAGTGTAGCATTTACATATGCGAAAAATAAGTGTATATACCTAGGGTTAATAAGAAAAAGATGTTTGTCAGTTTCCTGTTATCACAAATTTGTCTTTGAGTAAAATACATGATGAAAGTAATTTTCCACTGTTATATAAATTATATAATCTAGTTTAAATGATTGTGTCCGCAATAATGAATTGCAATATTCGTATACCGTTGTATGGGAGAAAGATAATAAAACAACAAATTATTTATTATATTAACTTCTTACTGTTTATACATCATTTATTAGACGCTATTTTAATTTTTTAGTTATGACTACATTCTAACAAAAGTAAAAGGGATGAAATCAGGAAAATTAAGTCTTTGTTCGTAAAATATCACACAGCATATTCAATAAACGAGACTATCACCAAAAATAATTTCACACACATATTTTATAGTTATAGATAAAACTAATCTGAATCTGTTCGACAATTTTCAATCACTGCTTATTGTTCTCGAAATACTTACTCTAATTTGGAATAAATTAAAAATGATTGCGCTTTTATATTTACAAAACATCACTACTATACTTTGAGAGACAAACTAAGAAACGAAAGATATGTCATAAGATATATGAAGACACACCGATAGTTGTTAATGAAATGGCTGTTTTGCGTTTAAAAATTATGCCTTATCTATGCACCGTACTTAGTTATTCGAATTAATGGAACAGTAAGAGTAATTGTAGAAAGTTAATTTCTTCAATTATTCAGAGATTAAACTCTTTTTAACTCTTTTAAACTCTTTTTAACGGAAATTTTCAATAATCGAAATTCCTACGACATATTCCTAAAGAGTGAACACGCACACATAAAACAAATAGATATTGATAAATAACACGTACGTTCTCGAAACTATTTCGTTCAAGGGAAAACGCGAAGATGTGGGAGTAATTAATAATGAAACAAACAGCAACGAATTCAAATTACATTACTTCTGTTTTTCTCTCTAAAGCCCAATTCCACAACCTTCAGTTATGGGTTCAGTTCACTTAACTGGTTATTCCATTGGACTTGAACAATCGCATTTGACATTAAGAAGAGTTAATCAGAATTAATCAATTATTACTGGGATTTAATCAGTAGTTAAAATTAAAAGGATGTTGTGGAACTTGGCCTAATAGTATCAACGCGCGCGAATGTCAACAATATGCAGATGTCGTTAATTGAACTACGATTGACGACATACGACTGAATTTTTTGAGCTAGATATAACGCCGAACAGAAACAATAATGAAATGAAAATTGTATTTCTGTTTGGCGTCGTATTTGTAATAGCTTAAGTTGAGTCAACTTTTATTATTATCGTTACTGTGATCGTTGCGTGATCTTTACTGTCAACGTAGCGACTGTCTGTTTGCGACTGACATTGTGGCTAATTTATATAAAGGCTCTACCCAGAGTAGTTTCCAATCTCGAGATTTCGGTCAAACTTACGTTTAGGTCTGAAGAATCCTAGTTACTTTTTTTATTATAATTCCGGCGAAAATATTCGGGATTCAACATCAGAAATCCTGGATTTCGGAATTGCAAAATTCAACGCTTTGTGCCTATGTAATATTTTTATTTTACTAAAATTTTACTTTAATAAATAGTAAACATTTTTTTCTTAAGTCGTTTGTCTAAAATGAAAAAAAAGAAATAAAAATTAACTCTATTTTTGTTATAAAAGTTTTAGCTTTTATAGTAAAACAGTTATAACAGTTAAAACAGTTATAACAGTTAATAAGACAAAAGTAATACCAGGTGAGTTATTTGCCCGTAAATCTTATTAATTCAAGAAATTTAAACGATGTCAATTCAATCAATCTAATCGATCCAATATTTTTTATTTGAAGAATATAATGCATTTTGAGAAAATTTCAGTAGATAATTTGCGGACTGCAGATTTCAATAGCACAGCTTTAAAAGTCGACTGCTTGGTCGCCAGCTTATTTCAGAAGAGTGAGATGGTAAAAAAAGGCAGACCACACACAGCCGCACACAAACACACATGCTTATATGTAAATTACTTATGATACTTATTGTAAATTGGTAGAAAGATTTTTATATATGCGTGGTTATGATTTCCGCAAAATATGGTAAAGACCGAATAGTATATATTTATACAAGATTTATATGTATAAAAAATAAGAAATAAGAAGAATGTAGTGTGTTTATATCAGTTGTATCTGATATGATGCTTTGACGATTGCCTTTACGTTATCAAGATTTTCGAAATTTGTCATTCAATTTGAATTTACAAAGAATACGAATTGAATTTCAAATTTGCGTTATGCTTAATGAATGAAGTACGACCCATTACAAAAATTTAATCTATTATATGAATTGTATTCCTATTACAGAAATTTAGTATTAAGAATTATATACTAAGAAATTTGCAGTGATTAAATACTCCAAATATTTCAAAATATATTTGACTAATGTCCAATCATTGATTAATGGATTGCTGTAGTCAGAGAATACCGTTCACAACACATCATTCTGAAGCAATAAAGTTAATATTTGATTATTTATTCGTCCAAATCATTCGTGCATCGAAGCTTTCATGCAACGAAACTTCGAGAAAGAGAAGCACACATATGACACAAGCAAAAAGCAACTAAATACTTTTACACATTCACAAATAACTAATTCCGCACGTTTCCAAGATCACTTCGTTCAAGAGAAAGCACACAAGCAAAAATAATAAATCAATAATTAATAGGAAATCGAACCGTGACGTATTCTTATTATATTAATTCCATTCGTGGTTAACGACGAATATGCGCGAAAGTCAACGCAGTACGCTGAGATTCTTTGATTAGTAACTGACGGAATTCTCTTTCTGTAACTTCGGCATTTGCGTGACATTGCATCTGATAACCTCCGACACTTGAGTAACACAATATTATTTTTGTATCGTGAGTATATAAATCTCGTAAATTGCGATATTAACAGCAGTTTATGCCTGAATAGTTGCGGATTATTAATCGCAAATCAAATTCTGTTATCGCGAAGAAGAAAGTGATTCTCGAATTGAAACATGAAACGGACGCTCTTACTTTTCTTCATGCTCTCTGTTGCCGTAAGTGCTTGGTAATATATAAATGTACACAAAACACAAGTGAAATTCTAGCTCTGCTATATCAATCGTAATATCAGGCGCAAACATATGCATCACATTTCGCAGAAGTTATAACAAAAGTTTGCTAAACTTCAACTGTTAAAAATAAAATTGTCAATCACAAGTCTCAGTAGTATAAAGGAAGTATAACTGAGATTCCTGATTGGCGTATTTATAACAATTAGTTAAATTAACTTTTGTGACATCGTGACGTTATATTTTCTAATGATTAATTTGCTAATTGATGAGAAAAGCTTTTTATGCAAAGTTGGACTTGTGCGAATACCGTGCACCTTAATGCGACAATTGTCACTATTGTTTTTTGGGAATAGTAGTAAAGATTGCGTTAAAATGTGAAGAATACACATTATTATTTAAAAATAAAATCGAGAGACGTGAGATGAGTTATGACGTATAGTATACAAATTATCACTATTTTGTCTTAGACGTTAAAGCTAAAAGAATTACATTGCTATGTTTTTTATTCTGCCAAGTATAAATTATATTTTCTTATGTGCAAAATTTTTGTGTCTATGATGGACTCTTATTAGCCATCTCTCACTTTTGTCTAATTATTATATTATTATCACGGTAACTGTACAACTCTGATTGCCATTGATTATTATAATGCTCAACTCAACTTTGAATCGCCAAAAATGTAAATCGCAATGCATACACACGTTAGCCAATTTCACTTATATTCTATCTATATTTAATTTGTTGCACATAGTTCCACGTTTTATACGTAAATTAATGAGACGATAATATAGCGTTGGCGCATGCCATGGTGGCAATTAACATGTTAATAACAAAACAAAGACGACAGTAATTGAGATCATAATAATAGCAGAAATCTGTCGGGAATTCAATGAAGAAAAACTTCTTATTATAATCCTACTTAAAATTCACGATTCTCTATCCAAACTAAATCTCTATCTAAACTCTATCTAAACAATACAACTAAAGTACACTCACTACTAAAGTAAAACTTCCCCGTCAATAATGTATTGTTACAACGTACGCAAGGCCTACGAAGTGATTAATTATTGTTGCAGACAGTGAGCCTCGCAGACGTTGCAGGAAACGTAGCGAGTGCTTTAGGAATGACGAAGGAAGAAGTGCAGACATGTTTCAACAAAGCAAATGTAACACTCGGTATGCTTCCGTTTGTGTGCCATTCTTATTAATTCATGTAGTTTTGAATGATACTAATCTAATCGATTTAATGGATCCGTCAATTTCTAGACGATCTAATGAAAATTGACGAAATTTCCGAAGACAGGTTGCAGACTATGGACTTCGACGATTCAGCTTTAAAGGCGGGCTGTTTTTTCGCCTGCTTATACCAAAAAAAAGCAATGGTAAGGATCAATCATGATCAATAATTTATCAAAAATACGAACCGCACACTCCGACATATACATACACACATACATATATAGTTTTAAGTCAACGAGGAGGCGAAAGAGTGTTGAGATTTTTGCATATTATAAAAAATTTGAGATTAATATAGGAACGAACTGATAATAACTTATTTTATGTTGTAGAAATTAAAACAGTAACTAATAATGTGTTATGTAATATTAAACTTATCTCTCAAACAAATACAGGATATTTCTAAATAAGTACGAAAATCTATAAGAGACAATTCTTTTTACCTAGAAAATTAAGGAGGATGGATATTTTTCATATAAACATATATTACTATATCCCTCCTTGAGAAGTTATTCTTTTCTAAAAAAAGTTAGGTTTTTATTTCTTGTTTTAAATATTGGAAATGTTTGAAAAATGAAAATGTAATGTAAAGCGAGTTGCCAATCTGGTTATCGCCTACTAGACATATTTAACTTCATTAGAAATGCAATTTGATGGATTACCGTGGATTAACATTTTATTTCTGTACATGAATACTATTATCTATACAATAAAATAAGAATAAAAAAATATTTAAAGGAATCAAGCTTCCCAACGCAAATTTTTAGATAATCACTTTCCGGTCCGTTAAAAGATTATAATAAAAAACTGAATGAGTAATTTCATCTCTTTATAACGATACGAGTAAATTAAAAAGATATTAATAAGCAGCCTTATAATTTCTATAGTTTTTCGCACTTATTTAGAAATTCTATATATATATATATTAATTGTAAGTCTACGTTCATCGTTAGTATCGTTACGTTCATGCATCAATTCCAGATAATAGGTGCGCCTGTAAATATGGACCAGATAAAAGAGATAATACACTCCGATAAAGGAATTGAACCTAACCTACTCGCCAAAATATTGCAAATACATGATACTTGTGCCAATCAAGGTACATATTTATGAAAATACTAATATCACGAGAAAAGAACTCCAATCATTCCTTGAATAATGCACCTTTTGTACATAATATGTTGTGACCGGTTTAATTAACACGAATAATTACAATTACATTTTATGCATAACCAATTTTTGTATTTCAGTTAAAAGCATAACCAACGAGTGTAAAAAGATCCTCAAATACATATTGTGCAGCAGGTATGAAATGGAACGTACATATTATCAGTAATATTATCGATAAGTAAATAAAAAGTATGGTAATTATATTAGAGGTAATGTTATTATGTTATTATATTTGGTTATTTGGTTGTTGGTATTGGTTTGGGTATTTGTTATTATATTTCTGGATCCTAAGACATAAATTTCCCAGATACACTTAAAGCTGTTCCTTATTTAAAATAGGGGAAAAGAGTTCAAGAAAATGTGTTCTTTCTTGCAAGAAATAAGGAAGTTTTTTATAGGATTCCAGCATTCATACCGTGCTTGCGTACGTTTCTGTGTTAATTAAGAAAAAGTTGCTTGTCAGTTTCCTGTTATCACAAATTTGACTTTGAATAAAATACATGCTAAAAGTAGTTCTTTACTGTTATATAAATTATATAATCTAGTTTAAGCAACTGTGTCCGCAATAATGAATACTCGTAAACCGTTGTATAGGAAAAAGATAATAAAACAAAAAATTATGTATTATATTAACTTCTTACTGTATATTTTTAGTATATATACTTCTTACTATATATTTACATTATATTTTTAGACGCTATTTTAATTTTTTAGTTATTGCGACATTCTAACAGAAGCAAAAAGGATGGAATCAGGAAAATTAGTCTTAGTTCGTAAAATATCACACAGTATACTCAAAAAACGAGACTGTCACGAGGAATAATTTCGCACGCTTATATTATAATTATTGTTAAAACAAATCCGGATCTGTTCGACAATTTTCAATCACTGCTTATTGTTCTCGAAGTACTTACTTTAATTTGGCATAAATTAGAAATGATTGTACTTTTATGTTTACAAAAAATCACTAGTATAAGACACTAGTATTTGAGTGACAAACTAAGAAACAAAAGATATATCATGAGATATATGAAGACACACCGACAGTTGTTAATGCTAATTTGCGTTTAAAAATTATACTTTATCTATGCATAGTATTTAGTTCTGCAAATTAATGCAACTATAAAAATAATCATAGAAATTCTATTTCTACAATTATTCAGAGATTGTTTTTTTTCTAACGGAGATTTTCAATAAGTGAAGTTCCTATGACACATTCATAAAGAGAAAACATGCACAAATAAAACGAACAGGAAACAATGAGATAATGATAAACGACTCGTGCGTTCTCGAAAATATTTCGTTCAAGGAAAAACGCAAAAATGTGGGATGATAATTAATAGTGAAACAAACGGCAACAAATTCAAATTATATTAAATTTGTTTTTGTGTCTAATAGTATCAACGCGCGCGAATGTCAACAATATGCCAAGGCCGTTAATTGAACCAGGAATGACGAAATTCTTTTTCTGTTACGACGGCATTTATGCGATATTACGCGTGATAACCTTCGATATCAATGAAAAAGTTTAGTTAAGTGAAAAAATTCCTTTTGCATCTAAAAATAAACTCATAATTGGCAACATACGACTGAATTCTCTGGGCTATCTAAGTATACAACGCCAAACAGAAACATTAGTGAAATGAGAATTGTATTCGTGTTTGTAACAGCTTAAGTTGAGCCAACTTTTGTTGTTATATTCGTTACTGTAATTGTTGCGTCAATGTGGCGTCTGTTTGCGATTGACATTGTGGCTAAGATACAGAAGGGCTCTATCCAGAATAGAGTTTCCAATCTCGGAATTTCGGTCAAACTAATGTTTCCAAAATTACGCGGGATTCAACATCAGAAAGTCCGGATTTCGGAATAGCAAAATTTAAAAAAAAACGCTTAGTGCTTATATAAAATTTATATTTTATACAGATTTTACTTTAATAATTAGTAGACATTTTTTCTTAAATCGTTTTTCTAAGATAAAAAAGAAAAATAAAAATTATCTTTATTTATCATAAAAGTTTTAGCTTTTAGATATAATAGTTAATAAAACAAAGGTAGTACCAGATGAATTCCTATTTGCGCGTAAATCTTATTAATCCGAGAAATTTCAACGATGTAAATCCAATCGATCTAAACAATTAAATATTTTTTATTTAGAGTATATAATTCATTTTGAGATAATTTTAGTAGACAATTTGCGGACTGTAGATTACAACGACACAGCTTTAAAAGTTGGCTACTTGGACACTTTCTTATTCCAAAAGAGTAAGATGGTAAAAAAAGGTAGATCACACACAACTGCACGCCTACACACAAGTACACACGCATATATGTAATTATCTTTTGACAAATAGTTTTTGGCCAAAACAGTTAAAGTTTTGATTTCAGTTTCAATTAAGGCCAACGAATGTAAAGTGAATGTCAAATAATTATTCTGCATAATATTTGAAGCGCGGAATATTTTTCACGGAATAATATAATAAATATAAATTAATAACGATGATAGTAAAAATTAATGATGTGATAATAAATAGTAAATAATAAGATACAAAAGTAAGGCGCACACGATATTACGTGTTTAGAATTTTTTAACTCTAAAATACATATCATGGGTCTCCCAAATCCATACAAATCTCAATTACGCATTACATGAGGAGAAAATATGAGTGTCCGAAACGATGACATTGAAGAACGTTTTTCTGACTGTGTCACAAATTTACATGGTTATCAATTTAAATGACCAACTAAGTAGAATACAGTTGCTGAAAACGTTTAATTGTTTTTTGCTAAGTTTTATTCATAAACTATATTTAGTTTTATATTAGTGTGTCTCTTTAGAACTTCTTTTAACTTAGCACCTTTTAAAGTATTAAAAATACAATTTTTAGATTTACGAATAAACGACTAAGTCATAGTTAATGTTAAAATTAAAAAGGGAAAAATAGAGAAATAAATATGCAATGAGACACAAGAAGACATCCAAAAATTGTTGGAAATACTGGTCAATTTGCGTTAATCAAGTTTTATGCATGTACTTAATTATCCCAAGTAAAATCTAAGAACATTCGTAAAATTTTTATTTCCCCAATTATCGCAAAATTTGTTTGCTTTGAGTGGTAAAATTTCCGATAATTAATATTCCTACGAAATACTTTAACAACGAAACATTGATGAAAAGGAGAAGCATTCACACATGAAATAAACTAGAAATAATAAAATACTATGATATCTGTAAAGTCTAAAATATACACCAATGAGTCATTTAGACCAATACAAAATTTCGTTTGCTCATTACTGGAAAAAAACTTCAGGAGGGAAGCACAAGACGACATTTAAAAAAAGTTTGTTGGTCTATATAGTTGATCACAATTACCATCTCAAATGACAAATTAGAGAAATTAACCATAATTCATCACATTGTTAACATTTCTTATAGATGTTTGTAAACAGGATCAAAGAATACGAATTGAATCTCAAATTCACGTTGTGGAGTGCGACCCAATACAAAAATTTAATCTATTATATGAATTGTATTTCTGTTATGGAAATTTAGTATTAAGAATTATATACTAAAAAATTTGCAGTAATTAAATACAGCAAATATTTCAATATATATTTGACTAATGTCCACCCATTTGTTAATGGATTACTGTAGTCAGAGAATACTGTTTGCAATAGATCATTCTGAAGCGATAAAGTTAATATTTGATCAGTTATTCGTCCAAATCATTCGTGCATTCATGCAACGAAACATCCGAAAAAGAGAAACACACATATCACACCAGCAAAAAGCAACAAAATACTTTTACACATTCACGAATGACCAATTCCGCACGTTTCCAAGATCACTTTGTTCAAGAGAAAGCACAGATGCGAAAATAATAAATCAATAATTAATAGGAAATCGAGCTCTGACGTATTCTTATTATATTAACTCCATTCGTGGTTAACGATGAATTTACGCGAAAGTCAACGCAGTACGCCGAGATTCATTGGACAGCAACTGACGGAATTCTCTTTCTGTGACTCGGCATTTGCGTGACATTGCGTCTGATAACCTCCGACATTCGAGTAACATAATATTTTTTTTTTTTCGTGAGTATATAAATCCCGTAAATTGCGATATTAACAGCAGTTTATGCCTGAATAGTTGCGGATTATTAATCGCAAATCAAATTCTGTTATCGCGAAGAAGAAAGTGATTCCCGAATCAAAACATGAAACGGATGCTCTTACTTTTCTTCACACTCATTGTTGCCGTAAGTGACTGGGTAATAAGTAAATGTTATAACGAAAATTTGCTAAACTTCAACTGTTAAAAATAAAATTGTCAATCACAAGTGTCAATAGGCTAAAATAAATACAACTGAGATCCCTGTTTGGCGTATTTATAACTATTAAAGTTAAGTTAACTTTTGTGACATCGTGACGTTGCATTTTCTAATGACAAATTTGCTAATAGATGAGGAAAGCTTTTTATACAAAGCTGGTGCAAAAATCTGGTATACCTTGATGCGACTATTGTCACTACTGTTTTTTATATAGTAGTAAATAGTAGTAAAGATCGCGCTAAAAAGCGTTGACGAATAGTGACTGCCATGGCAGTAGTTAACATGTTAATAACAAAACAAAGACGACCGTAATTAAGAGCGTAATAATAACAGGAATCTGTTAAGAAAATTCAGTTAAAAGAAATTTCTTATTGTAATCCCGTTTTAAATCCACGAATCTTTGTCCCAACTTAATACAACCTCAACAATACAAACACTCACTACTCAAAGTAAAACTTCCCCGGTAATAATGCATTTTTGCAACATACGCATGGCCATTCTACGAAGTAATTAATTATATTTACCTGTTGCAGACAATGAGCTTCGAAGATATTGCGGAAAGGATAGCGAGTACTCTAGAAATGACGAGAGAAGAAGTGCAGACATGCTTCCACAAAGCAAAAGCAACACTTGGTGAGCTTCCGTTTGTATGCTATTCTTATTAATTCGTGCAATTTTAAATAATACTAATCTAATCGATTTAATCGACTCGTCAATTTCTAGAAGGTCTAATGCGACTTGACGAAGTTTACGAAGACAAATTACAGATTATGGATTTCAACGACTCAACTTTAAGGGTAGGCTGTTTTTTCGCTTGTTTAGGCCAAAAAAAAGGAGTGGTAAGAAACAATCATAATCAATAATTTATCATAAATCGCATACAGACTCAAATATATATACACACGCATGCATATATAGTTTTTAGTCAACGAGAAAGCGAGAGAGTGTTGAGATTTTCGCATATTATAAAAAATTTGAGATTAACATTGGTACAAACTGATAATATTTTATTTCATGTTGCAGAAATTAAAATAGTAACTAATAATGTGTTGTGTAATATAGAATTTATCTCTCAAACAGATACAAAATATTTCTAAATTAGTATGAAAAACTATAAGAGGTCATTCTTTGTAGAAAATTAAGGAGGGAGAAAATTTTTTATATAAACACATACTAATATATCTCTTCTTAAGGAGTTATATTTTTCTCAAGAAAGTTAGGTTTTTATTTCTTTTTTTAAATATTGGAAATGTTTAAAAAACTAAATTTTAATGTAAAGCGAGTTGCCAATCTGGCTACCGCCTACTAGTCATATTTAATTTTATTAGAAATGCAATTGTTAAATTACCGTGGATTAACATATTTTATTTCTGTATATGAAAACTATTGTCTTTACAAAAAAACAAGAGTAAAAAAATATCTAAAGGAATCAAACTTCCTAACGTATATTTTTAGATAAATACATTCCATTTTAATAAAAAATTATAATAAAAAATTGAATATGTAATTTTATCTCCTTATTAGATACAAATAATTTAAAAAGATATTAATAAGCAACCTTATATTTTCTATAGTTTTTTGCACTTGTTTAGAAACTCTCTCTCTCTCTCTCTCTCTCTCTCTCTCTATATATATATATATATATATATATA